AGAAAGGCAGAGAGTGAGTGAGTGAGTGAGTGAGAGAGAGTAGAAGTGAGTAGAGAGAGAGAGAGAGAGAAAGATGAGAGAGAGAGAGAGAGAGAGAGAGAGAGAGAGAGAGAGAGAAAGGCAGAGAGAGGCAGAGACAGAGAGTTGGATAAGGCCGGTCTGTGCTGACTAATGCTGACTCGCTAACGTGTGAGCTTACTCCTTACCCGCCGCGGTGCCCAGCCACAGCAGTAACCTTGTATTGACTGGAGCATGTGTTTTCTGAATGCCTAACGAAATCTCTTTCTTACCAGGCACACACACACACAGAGAGAGAGAGAGAGAGAGAGAGAGAGAGAGAGAGAGAGAGAGAGAGAGAGAGAGTGTGAGAGAGAGAGAGAGAGAGAGACCGGGTGGAATGAGCGAGGGCAACACAAAAGCACACGACGCTGCATATTAATACCAAGGGGACCATTTGTAAAAATATTCACACATTACCGTCCCTCGCCCGCCCACAAGCCAACCGTTCGTCAATTTCTATTCTCCTCCCTCCTCCCTCCTCCCTCCCCCCTCCCCCCCACACTGCCCTCCACCCTCACCCCCCTCCCTACCTCTCCTACTGCCTCTCCCCTTAGCTCTATCTATACCCCTCCCCAAGAGAAGAAGGAGGAGGAGGAGGAGGAGGAGGAGGGGGAGGAGGGAGAGGAGGAGGAGGAGGGAGAGGAGGAGGAGGAGGAGGAGGAGGAGGAGGAGGAGGGGGAGGATGAGGGGGAGGAGGGAGAGGAGGGAGAGGAAGAGAGGAAGAGGAGGAGGAGGAGGAGGAGGAGGAGGAGGAGGAGGGGGAGGAGGAGGAGGAGGGGGAGGAGGAGGAGGAGGAGGAGGAGGAGGGGGTGAAAGAAGTAGGATAAACAAAGAGCTGTCATCACGAAAAAAGAGTAGTGTGGTAAACCAATACCACTAACAAAACAATACCAGAAGCTATGAAAATATAACAGGCAGCAATAAAATTAATTAAAACTAAACAAGTTCAATTCTGATGAATGTAAAACACACGCGCACACACACACACGCGCGCGCACACACACGTACGTACGCACGCACACACGCACACACACACACATACACACACAGACGGAGACTACTTTGGGAAACAAATATTTGCAAATGGAGGGGGGGAAGGGAGAGCAATCACATGTTACCCTCCTACCCTCCTACCCTCCTACCCTCCTACCCTCCTACCCTCCTACCCTCCTACCCTCCTACCCTCCTACCCTCCTACCCTCCTACCCTCCTACCCTCCTACCCTCCTACCCTCCTACCCTCCTACCCTCCTACCCTCCTACCCTCCTACCCTCCTACCCTCCTACCCTCCTACCCTCCTACCCTCCTACCCTCCTACCCTCCTACCCTCCTACCCTCCTACCCTCCTACCCTCCTACCCTCCTACCCTCCTACCCTCCTACCCTCCTACCCTCCTACCCTCCTACCCTCCTACCCTCCTACCCTCCTACCCTCCTACCCTCCTACCCTCCTACCCTCCTACCCTCCTACCCTCCTACCCTCCTACCCTCCTACCCTCCTACCCTCCTACCCTCCTACCCTCCTACCCTCCTACCCTCCTACCCTCCTACCCTCCTACCCTCCTACCCTCCTACCCTCCTACCCTCCTACCCTCCTACCCTCCTACCCTCCTACCCTCCTACCCTCCTACCCTCCTACCCTCCTACCCTCCTACCCTCCTACCCTCCTACCCTCCTACCCTCCTACCCTCCTACCCTCCTACCCTCCTACCCTCCTACCCTCCTACCCTCCTACCCTCCTACCCTCCTACCCTCCTACCCTCCTACCCTCCTACCCTCCTACCCTCCTACCCTCCTACCCTCCTACCCTCCTACCCTCCTACCCTCCTACCCTCCTACCCTCCTACCCTCCTACCCTCCTACCCTCCTACCCTCCTACCCTCCCTCCCTCCCATCCACCCATCCATCCACCCTACCCTCCTACCCTCCCACACTCCCTCCCATCCATCCACCCACCCACCCTACCCTCCTACCCTCCCATCCACCCACTCACCCTACCCCCCCTCCCTCCTTCCCAGACACTCCTATTACGAGGCGACACCAAGACACGGCCGCTGCATTATCACGGCCTCTTGGGTCATCGCGCGCCGGGAGATGTCGCACGCTGGGGAGGGGGGTGGTGGGGAGGTGGGGAGGGGGAGGTGGGGAGGGGATGAAGGATGTGGGATGGGGAGGAGGGAAGGCGATGGGGAAGATGGGGAGGGGGGTGGTGGGGAGGTGGGGAGGGGATGAAGGATGTGGGATGGGGAGGTGGGAAGGGGATGGGGGATAGGGGGAAACGAAGTAGGAGTGGAGGGGAAGAGAAGAGGCTAAGGAAGGAGGGAGAGAAATAAGAGACAAGAGAGGAGGGGAGAGACAAGGGTTGAATAGAAAGAGAAAGAGAGACAAGAGAAGAAGAGAAAGAGAAAGGAAGACAAGAGAAGAAGAGAAAGAGAGAAACAAGAGATGAAGAGAGAAAGAGAGAGAGAAAAATGAAAAAAAAAATGAAAATAAAGAGAAAAAGAGTGACGAAAAAAAGAGAGAGACATCCACACTCGACGTTCTTGGCGAGTTACCTGAGCGTGACGTCGAAAGTTTTCCCGCGTCTTCCGATATGGCGCAGCCCGGCTCGGATTTCGCCCGCATGCCTACATTCCTTCAGACCTACGCACATAAATACACGTGTTTATCCCTCCCTCTCTCTCTTTCTCCTTTCTCTCTTTCTGTCTCTGTCTCTCTCTCTCTAGTTCTCTCTCTCTCTCTCTCTCTCTCTCTCTCTCTCTCTCTCTCTCTCTCTCTCTCTCTCTCTCTCTCTCTCTCTTTCTCTCCGTCTCTCTCTCTCTTTCTCTCCGTCTCTCTCTTTCGTCTCTCTCTCTCTCTCTCTCTCTCTCTCTCTCTCTCTCTCTCTCTCTCTCTCTCGTCTTCCTTTTCTTCTCCTCCTATCCCCTCTCCCCCCCCCATCCCCCTCCTTCCTACCCACTTCCTCCCCCACTAAAAAAGGTCATGTATCGCGTGACCCCCTTCCCGTATTAACTCTGATGACCTGATGTCACCCTCCCCCCCCACCCCCCTGTCCCTTTTCTTTGACCTTGTTCGTTCTTGCAATATACCCTCGCCTTCTTCTTCTTCTTCTTCTTCTTCTTCTTCTTCTTCTTCTTCTTCTTCTTCTTCTTCTTCTTCCTTTCTTCTCTATCATCCCCTTCCTCTTCCCCCAACCATCCCCATCCCCTACAACCCCCCCCCCCCGTTGCTCACGTGAGACCTCGGCTCAGACAAACAGATTATCAATGTATCATTCACACCCATTCGCCCTGTAATGTACGTTCCTGTGTGGGCGGGGAAGTAGGGGGAGGAGGAGGAGGGGAAGTGTAGGTGGGGGAATGGGAGGGAGAAGGAGGAGGGAGAGAGAGAGGGAGGGGGGGGTGTAAGCACGTGTTAAAGCGAAAGGTAAAAATAAATGGTAATAGTAGGGGATGAGAGAGAGGAAGGGGGAGGGCGGAGGGAGGGAGTGAAGGAAGGACTGCGAGTCCAAAATATAATCTATGAATATCATCGTGTATGCCTTTGAACGCACACACTTTCCCCCTTCCCCCCCTTTCATCGACCTTTGCCTTCCCTTTCCCTTTCTCCCCCTCCCTCTAACCCCCCTACTCACTTCGCCTCCCCCTCCCTTTCTCCTCTCCCTCTCTCTCCTCCTCCTTTCCCCCTCCCTCTTCCTCCTTCCACCTTTCCCTTTCCCTTTCGCCTTTTCACCCCCCCCTCTCCCTCACTCTACTATTCCCTCTCACCCTCTCCCTCTCCCTCACTCTATCTTTCCCTTTCCCTCTCACCCTCTCTCTCTCCCTCACTCTATCTTTCCCTTTCCCTCTCACCCTCTCCCTCTCCCTCACTCTATCTCTCACCCTCTCCCTCTCCCTCACTCTATCTTTCCCTTTCCCTCTCACCCTCTCTCTCTCCCTCACTCTACCATTCCCTCTCACCCTCTCCCTCTCCCTCACTCAATCTTTCCCTTTCCCTCTCACCCTCTCTCTCTCTCCTTCTCCCTCTCCCCCTCCTCACTTCGCCTCAAGCGCTCCCATCCCCGGCTTCCTCGGGGCTTAAAATACCAATCAGGCAAATGCTCTCCACGACCGCTGTCAATACCACATCACACAAAAAGACTATTTCTGTTTTTAAGCCCAACGTACACACACGTACAGGCAACATCTTTTTTTTTCGCTTGCATACATGCATACATATATACACACATATGCATACACACAGAGAGAGAGAGACAGAGACAGTGACAGACACACAGACAGACAGAGAGAGAGAGACACAGATACAGATATAGACACAGACACAGACACACACACACACACACACACACACACACACACACACACACACACACACACACACACACACACACACGACCGAAGGGGAATGCGATTTGAGTGAGAGAAGAAGGGAGAGGGGATTGCAACAAACTTAATTTTAACACAAAATCCCCAACTCTCCTTCCCCCTCCCCCCCTCCCTCCTCCTAAATCCGGCCGCACTTGTAGCGCCTCGAAAATCCTACCGGAAATCCTTGACACCTGTTTCTTTGGGCGTATAAAGTGGCTTTAAGCTTATTTAAAAAAGTGAAAACTAATGAACTGAATGAACGAATGAACTGAATGAATGGATTAAAGAATGGGTGAATGACTGAATTAACAACATTCAAAAAGATAGAAAAAAAAATAAATACATAAATATACAATTAATCAAATAAATAAATCTACACATCTATCAGTTTGTCAATCAGTCTGTCTGTCTATCACAACACCTACAGCAACAATAATAATAATAATAAAAAAAAAAACTGATAACACCAACCAATATATAACTTGCCCCCCCCCCAAAAAAAAAAAAAAAAAAAAATCCTTATTAAACTGTCACTTAATCAAATGCCAAAACACATAATCGAATGCTCACTCAC